CCTATTTTAACCCCCCCCCCCCACACACACTCACCCCTCTCTCTCTCCCCCTACCCCTCTCTCTCTCTCTCCCCCTACCCCTCTCTCTCTCCCCCTACCTCTCTCTCTCTCTCTCTCTCTCTCTCTCTCTCTCAGTGTAATTCAGTCCAAGCCCAGTCTTCAGGAAAAACCAGTCCAGGTACTGTCAGAGAACAGTTTTTTTTTTTAAATCCTTCTTCAGATCCAAGGCTCCAACGCAAAAAAAAAGAGAAAAAAAAAAGAAACAAATCATCGCAGCCTTTTTTTTCCTAGAACATACATTAACTCCAAAACTTTACATTCTTACATATAATGATGTTGTTGTTGGGTTTTTTTTTTTTTAAATGACGACAGAAGTTCACATAGAAGAGTCACCTGTTGAAGTATCTGCCTCTTATGTACAAGTAGGAAGAACATTGTTACATTGTGTTCACATGGACTGTTAAGTCCATGCATTTATAAATATATAAATATATATGGACAGTGAACTCCTTGTCATTGTGACACTGCAGACAATCGACCTTTGACCTCTGCTTTTAACCCATCACCAAACAGTGAAACAGTGGGCCCTCTTGTGTGGGGACGATGCCTTGCTCAGAGCACCTCAGTGGTAACTTGGCAGCTGGTGGACTCGAACCTGAAGCCTTTCAGACCCCAGTCGGCTTCCTTAACCACTAAACCACTGCCCCCCCCCCCCCCCCTTTTTTTTTTTTTTTTTTTTTTTACTTTACAGCTGCTCAACTGCCTCTGTCTGATTCTCTACTAAATGTTCAGTGAGTGACAGATGTGGACTGCAGGCCGGCCACCCTCTAACACACACACACACACACACACACACACACACACACACTGCTGTGAGACTTGTGCTTCTGTAGGACAATGTGTTTTTATCTATATTTATTTATTCATAAATATGATGGACACGTAAACACACACTCGGTGTGTGTTTCAGTCACCTGTCTCGTCTACTTGATTCCTGCTTGTAAAATAAAGCAAACATTCTCATTGTGAGACGTCAAAGAAAGTGAGGCAGGCCGTTTGTCCCGAGGCGCTCGGTGCTGCTGTGCCTGCTGCAGGAATGACATCAGACTGGTTTAGAGCGCCTCCTGACTGTGTCTCCTCTGTGAGAGGCTGGGAGTCGCCCGGGTTTAATGCCAAGTCAGTTCTCCAGAACCTCAGTCCGAGCGTGGAGAGAGTGGAGGGAAAATAAAAATAAAAAATAAAAATAAAATAAATAAATTAGCTGACGTTACAGCAGGACCAAACAAAAATACTAAAGATCTGTCTCTAAAGGTGTAGTTTAAAAATACAAAATAAATAAATAAAACATATATTTGGTATTTGTCTGTTCAAAAAGAAAGTTTTTACATCTGTAAATACGACGTGCTGCCGTGTTTCCACTCCAGAGACTCACTGTGATGAGACGTGGGAGATGGAAATGGATATTAATATGATTTAATAATGAACATGAATGAAGACCCTTCCTCTCTGTGCAGTTTACAGTTCTGATGTGTGACGTGGCGTCGGAGCTGCAGTAACGGTGCAGTAACGGTGACACCTCCAGTTCACCACTCGGACCTTTTCGGTCTCAAAGTTCTGGAACACTGTGACGTGAGCAGAGCCAACAAACAAACCTCACTGATTTGTTTTTTTTTAACCGAAAGTCAAGTGACGGCGTAAGAGTTTTGTCCTTCCTCATAATCACACACCCAAGTTTTGTTCTTTCGATTTGCTTTTCACGTACGGGTGTGTCCCACACAATTACCCCTGGCCCTGCGACAAAGTACAACAGCATGCAAAATATGTGCTAATTATCACAGATGCTGTGTGTTTTCACGTGTGTTGTGTAAGACTGGCAAAAAGAAAAAAAAACTTTGATGATAATGGAGAGGATGGCAAGCTGTGAATTATTGGAATACAGGTTTGGCCATGTACATAGGAGTGGCATATAACCTACTTTGCCTGGAATCTAACTCACAACCTTTGAATTAATATGTATTTTTTTTATATTATTAATATCAAAAATCAAGAGAAAGTGATCAATAAGGTTGATTTTTAAAATCTATTATTGTTGTTGTTGTTGTGATGGATCAAGTTTAAAAAAAGAAAACGATTATATTAAGTCAAAGTCAAATCAATGTTTCTATAAATCTCCTTCTCTCCCTCCCTGGTTCAGATCAAGAGAAAGTGATCAATAAGGTTGATCTTTAAAATCTATTGTTGTTGTTGTTGTTGTTGTTGTGATGGATCAAATATAAAAAAGAAAACGATTATATTAAGTCAAAGTCAAATCAATGTTTCTATAAATCTCCTTCTCTCCCTCCCTGGTTCAGACTTCCCTCAGATCTCAGATCTCAGATCTCAGATCCCAGATCTCAGATCTCAGATATCAGATCTCAGATGTCAGATCTCAGATCTCAGATCTCAGATCTCAGATCTCAGATCTCAGATCTCAGATCTCAGATCTCAGATCTCAGATCTCAGATCGTCTTTGAAGGACGTGCTGTCACTGTCCTCGTTTGCTCTCCTGCAGTGTCGCTTTTACACAGTAACCACTAGATGGCACCACAGTAAAATACATTGTTTGCTCTGCATGACTGGCTCGTTCTAGTTCTTAGTCTGGTTTTGAAGACAGTTTGGCCTCTTTTAAAGATTTAACGACCTCTTAAGTGACATATAATTTGAACCAACTTTTCAGCAGTTTGTTGAACGTCTCTGTTCCATAAACATCTGACTCTCCTCACCACCAGAGGTTTAATTACGCTGCAGTTCCTCCCTGACGTGTTTCCTCCTTTTGTGTGTTTCTACCACACACTATGTAGAAGCAGAAGGTGCCGAGAGGTCAGAGGGTTGGAGTCACTGCTTCCAGTTGCTGTAGCAGATAGTGAAGGTGTTGGCCGTCATCCAGATTCATTTGATACTTTTTTTGTTCTTAACATTTCATCACACACTCGTCGTGACTCATTCTTGTTTTTGCTCAGATGTCTATATTTTGCCCGTATTTTGAAACGCAATCGTTCCTCCCTGTTTTGACAGTAAAACAGCTTATCTCACAATACAGTGTAATAATAATTTGGTGGAATCATGTGAATGAAAAAAACTTATTTTCAGGATTGATGACTACAAACAAACAACAACGTCACAGATGTGTACGACATATTTCACTGTGACAGAAATCACGGCTGTTTATAGGAACGGGAGGACGTTTGTGTCACAGTTGTGGGAGGACAACATTTCAGGAACAGACGACACCTGTGGTGTTGATGAGTCAGTGAAAGATGAGTCATTTAAAGAACTGCACATCGATGTGAGTACTGCAGGTCGTTACTGCAGGTCGTTACCGCAGGTCGTTACCGCAGGTTGTTACCGCCAGTCGTTACCGTAGGTCGTTACCGCAGGTCGTTACTGCAGGGCGTTACTGCAGGGCGTTACCGCAGGTCGTTACTGCAGGTCGTTACTGCAGGTCGTTACTGCAGGTCGTTCCTGCAGGTCGTTACTGCAGGTCGTTACTGCAGGTCGTTACCGCAGGTCGTTACTGCAGGTCGTTACTGCAGGGCGTTACCGCAGGTCGTTACTGTAGGTCGTTACCGCAGGTCGTTACCGCAGGTTGTTACCGCAAGTCGTTACCGTAGGTCGTTACCGCAGGTCGTTACTGCAGGTCGTTACTGCAGGTCGTTACCGCAGCCTTAATTGCTCTGAGTGTTTAAACAAACAAACCCACATTCAGAATGCATAAAAACAACTTGCTGTTTCCTTAACCACCACATGTTTTCACGAGGCTCCGTCCAGGAATGGGTGGACACTGATCCGATCTGAACACAGACTGTTTACAAACTGGCATCCCTTTCACCAAATATGGTCAAATAATTTGGCGATTGTGTGGGCAAAATGAAGACAGTTTATCCTCATAATCACCAGATTGTTGTTGTAAATTGCTGAGGTTGAGCAGCGTTCCCCTGGGTGACTGTTTTTCACCTGTTTATTTGTTGTTTTGGTTTTTTTTAATGTGGAGTTCATGTCTGCAGGAACCAAACGCTGCGTCTGATTTTAGTTCAAGTGTCTCCACAGAATGACACGTCCCTGTCCTGTTGTGGGGGTGGTGTTCTTTGGGTTACATGCTTTTCCCTTCCTTCTCATTGGCGACACATCTGTGATCAGCATTGTTGTGGTTGTTGGGGTCAGTGCCGTTTCTATCAATCTACTATGATAATACAAATTCAGATGAACATCCAGATGTAAAGTCTGGTGATTTTATCAATTACTGAGTCAAATTGGACATGAAAAAAACCCAAAAAACTCAAGGTTTTTTACCTCATTAAAGTGAACCATAATCCAGTTGTTACAACAGGATATCACACTGTAGTAAAAAAAAGAATATATTTTAAACGGCTGCTCATTCTCTTCTCTGTGTAGATTTGAAAGGTTTAAACCTGTTGAAAAAGAAACTCAAGTGTTATCAAAGGTCGAAAAAAATGTAAACAGATAACGGAGGCAGGCTCTACACATTTTCTCTCCCCCTTTTTTTTTCTTTCTTTCTTATTTACCATTGGGCTGATTGAAATTTCCTCCCTTCCACCACCCCCCCTCCCTCCCCCCGCCCCGTGTCTGCAGATAAAGTCTTTAAAAAGAGGCCGGGGACTGGGAGAGGCACTTCCTAACTGTGTGAGGAGGTGAGAGGAGTCGCCCGCCAGCTCTTTGTTTGAATCCTGAATCCTGATCAGGTGCTCGATAATACTTTCAATAATTCTAATCAATAATCTGCTGCTGCGATGGCCAGCTCTGGGGCACAGCTGTGCGGCTTCCTGCTCTCTCTGATCGGCATGGCGACCACTCTCGCTGCCTCTTTGATGGTTGAATGGGAAGAATTGGTTTCATTATCATCAACCCGGATTCATGCGGGTCTGTGGATGAAGTGTTCCACCACGAAAGACAGTTTCTGCTGTGAATACCATGATTCGTTAATTGGCCTGGAAGGTGAGCTTTTATTGTTGTTATTATCACTGTCACAAATGTCACACTTTTTAATCAAATGTTTTTGAAAACTTTTTTTTTTAACTTTTCTACCGTCTTCACTACATTTTTAATCAAATGTTTTTGAAAACTTTGTTTTTTAACTTTTCTACCGTCGTTCTTGATCTTCAGAAATATTTTTCTTGTGTTTGTTGTTTTTATCCTCCCTTCGAGCATCGACAACAATTCAATTCTTTATTCAGTTTCGTGACATTTCTGCAACTGACAGCTCACAACCAGTGTTTTCAGTATGTTCTTCACCGTCAGGTTCTCAGATTAAACCTGATTATTAAATCATCAAGTGCTTGGTTATTTTTGGAAACAGTTGCAAAACCCAGTGTGTTTATAGATAAATCACCTCTATGTTTTAAGGCCTGATGATGCAGTCACAGCAGTCACAGTCTGCTCTCTCTGTAGGTTCAATCCATGTCACCAGGTCCCTGATACTGGTCAGCCTCGTCCTCTCCGCTCTGGCTCTGTTCTTCTCCATAGTTGGAATGAAGTGCACCCGCTTCATGGACGGAAAGGACAAGGTCAAATCCCGTACGGCCATGTCTGGAGGAATCATGCTGATCATCTCAGGTGGGTCCAGTGTTTTACAGTAACCCTAAAGCTCCAGCAGAGGTCGCAAGCCCTCGTTGAAATCGAGGCGGTTCTAACCAGGACCTGTGTTTTCCTCCTCAGGCCTTCTGACGATCATCATCACCTCCTGGTACACACAAGCGGTTGTGGAGAACTTCCATCAAACACAGGGTCCACAGAGGCCTGAGTTTGGATCAGCGATATTCATCAGCTTGACCGGAGGTCTGCTCACCATGACCGGTGGAGCTTTCCTGAGCTGCCGGCGGTGCTCACGGTCGGAGGCGCCCGGCTCCAACCACATCAAGCACTACCAGCCGAGCACGCACGCCAACTCCAACTACGTCTAATGAAGGAGACGCAGGAGGATCTGACGCTGAAACTCTGCTCTGACTGTTGTTACTGCCTCCGTTCAGATCGCAGTTTTTCATGTAACTTTTTTTGTCCATTAAAGTTGGAGAAGATTGTTGTTAGAATCATGATGTTTTTCTGCTCCTTTAAAGAGAAGAACCCTGGTTTATTTGTTCAGATGATTCTGTCTTTGTCAACATTTGTCCTTTATCTCTTTTATTCTACACAGTTTTTTGTGTGTGTTTGTGCGTTGAAGGTGTTAAATTGATTTCTTGGAATTCGAGCTGCACTTTGTACTAACAGATGCTTTAGAGCACATGTGCCAAACTCAAGGCCCGGGGGCCAAATGTGGCCCCCAAACCACGGGTTGGGGATCCCTTATCTATACAGTCCTTCTATTGGAACTGTAGACTTGTAACCAGTACTCAAGTATAAGTCTGATGTTTGGAGAGGCTCAGGACGACGCTGGTTTCTCTGTGACACCTGACCACATTACGTTTCCACGGCGACACCAGATCATGTCAGTTAAAGTATGAGCCAAACTGTAGTATGAGCCACAGATTACAGCTGCAGCTTTGTTTCGTTTGGTATAAGCACTGCAGTACTACTGCAGTACTACTGAAGGGGAAAATTAGAACTTCTTTTTTGTAATAAATTATTTGGTCAATCCCGCAGTTTTTTTTTTGTTTGTTTTTTTTTGGTGACTTTAGTCAATGTAGAGTCGATCTTCTAAAAATTATGTTTTTTTTTTTGGTGACTTTAGCCTTCACCTCAACGTAGAGTCGATCTTTTAAAAATTATTTTCAAACAAGTATTGTATTTTTCATATATACCTTCAAATATTGTGTACTTTTATTTAAATGTACCTGGACATTTATTTGTGGTACAAGAAATAAATCAAAACGTACAATTCAACGCTGCTGTGACGACATTCATCCTGCTTAAAACTCTTTTAAAGAAATGCTTGTTTTACATTAGATTGTCATTTTGATTAAAAACATTTTTACCAATAACATGAATATGATTTTGTGTGATTTTAAATGTATGATTTATGAGCTTCTGTCCTGGATCTAAACCTCGGTCCAATCAAACGCCGCTCCTTCCCTCCTCTCCTCTTCTCCGTGTAGACCTGTTCTTTTATCAGAATTTCCTGCTCTAATGAGGGTTTTCCTGACACAGCTTCCTCCCAGTCATATCTGCTCTCATCTCTCCCATTAAAAAGCTGACTTTGATGAATGGCATCCCATCCTGCTGCAGCTGCTGCTCCTCTGTTCGTCCAGGTGGAGGAGCAGTGAGAACATTTTTTTTCTTGTTTTTTTTAGATAATGTTAAAGGGGAATTCTGGGGAGTTGTGTACACTGCTGCACCAGGAGTATTCAAACTGCGGGGGAGGGACCTTCTGTGGAACACAGTGTTTAAAAAGGAGTCCAGGTAATAAGGTTATGTGTATAACATAGAACGTTATCACCAAACACTGACAAGATGACATCACATATTTCAACACCTCAGATTGATCTTGGTCTTTTAATGTAAAAACATGACAGTGTGATGATGAAAACGAGCCTGACTCAGACTGTTCCAGGAAATGATTTCGTTCAACCCCAGAAACCTGACTAATGTTAGGAGGCTGTGATGTGAGAAGAGATGAGATTATGTTGTGATGACACAGAGCACGAACACGAACACGAACACGAACGGATGACACAGAGCACAAACACGAACACGAACACGAGCACGAACATGAGCACGAACATGAGCACGGTCAGAGAGGGAAATGAAACTTCACAGATTTGAACTGCGTGACTGGAAGTCGTGACAGAAAACTGTCAAGATATTCACCCTCCAAGTTTCCAATGGATTTTGTGCTTTTTTATTTTCTCAAATGAAGCAAAAATTCACTGTCTGCTGCAGCGTGTACTTTTATTTGATCGACTACCTGATCTATTTGATCGACTACCTGATCTATTCGATTGACTACCTGATCTATTTGATCGACTACCTGATCTATTCGATTGACTACCTGATCTATTTGATCGACTACCTGATCTATTCGATCGACTACCTGATCTATTTGATCGACTACCTGATCTATTTGATCGACTACTCGATCGTTGTCTTTTCCAGGTACATTTATAATATCCATCAACATGACAGCATGTGTTACAGAAGACTGTCAAGTTGTGACTAATGTCTTTGTAACGGTGTTACATCCCATCAGTGGTGAATTTCAGCCACAAGTGCTTTAGACTAAAAGTTCCTCTAGGGGGCGTCATTGTCTAAGGTAAAACTCAGTAGCTCCAGCTGAAACTTCCAAAGACAAGGCTGTACAAGTCCAATAGAAATATACTTCATTATACAATTATTTTTAAAAAAAATTCTATTGTGAGTAAATTAGATGTATTTATATTAAAATAAGAAAATCAGGATATTAAAAATAAAATGATTGGAAATAACTTGAGAATTTCGAAAAGGAAATGAAAACAAAGTGTCAAATGTTTGAAAGGAAAGTATTTTTTTACCATGCAGTATTTTATTAGATTTTTATCTTTCGTTAATAAAGTCATAGTTTATAGTATATATTTATATAAACGTTTGATCATCAAAGTATCAGTAACTTCAACAGAGTACCAGGTGGGGGCTCCACTCAGCTCAGCACATGGTTCCTGAAGCCTCCGTGCCCCGCCCCTGTGTGTGGGGTTCCCTGGAGGAGCCGGTGACTACCCCCTAACTCCCCCCTGCTGAGCCTGTTGTACTTCGACCATTCATGCCTCGGAGGGGGCGGAGTCAGCCGAGGAGAAGTGAAGACCAAACAAAATGAGTGTCCCGGACTGAAGCCGCTGTATTTCCGCCCTGGACCCGGTGTCGCCCTCAGGGTCTTCACTTCACTCACACACTCCACAGCAGCGGAGTTTTGATGGGATGAACTGACAGCCGCTCCTCACACTCTGAACCCGAGCAGCGGAGCATGGATAGAAACTTTTGGCCAGCGGCGGCGGCGGCGGCGGCGGCAGCCCTGTCAGTGCTCCTGTTGACCACGGTGGCTCCTTCCTCCGGAGCCGATAGTTTCCTGGAGCCCTATGACCTCCTGTACAACAGCGGCGTTCAGGCGTTTTACAGCGGGGAGTACGCGGATGTGGTGCGGTACATGGAGGCGGCGCTGAGCAGTCAGGCCGAGGTGCGCAGCACCAGAGTCCGCTGCCGGCTGAGGTGCCAGGACCAGCATCCGTTCGATGACACCTTCTCTGAGCTGCGCTTCTTCGACGTGGTGCTGCACAGGGCGGCCTGCATGAACCGCTGCATCGAGGACAAACTTGGAGCACAGTCTCTGCACAAAGTCAGCGAGGATGTGGCGCAGGACTTCCACAGGAGGATCCCCTACAACTACCTCCAGCTGGCTTATCAGAAGGTAGGTGGTCTGTGGAGGGGGGTGAGGTGGGGGGGTGGGGGGGAGATGAATGGACACGATTGTTCCACTCCACATCACCTACATTCTTCACCAGCTCTGGCTGCTGCCCAGAGACAGAGACAGAGACAGAGAGGTCAGAGCAGGAGCAGGTCACAGTTAGGACAGGTCTGTGGACACTGTCTCCCACTGTCACGACCCCCCCAGCCCCCCCCGGCCCCCCACTCAGGTTCAACACAGTCATCACCCACTGTCACGACCCCCCCAGCCCCCCACTCAGGCCTGAACTGATGATAGAATTCTAGTCCACACAAGTCACACAGGAATGTAGGGGTAACCATGTCCATCCATCCATCCATCCATCCATCCATCCATCCATTCTCTACCACTTGTTCTTTCGTTCTTTTAAAGTCTTCACAGAGATGATGTAAAATGGCCTGTAGGTTTCTGGGAGTCACAGAAATAATCTGTGATGACAATTTGTCCTTAGAGGCAAGAAAAAATCAGTTTTGTTTCTCGTGGTTTTCTTTTTCTTTCTTGTTTTGTTTGTTTGTTGATCATCTGACTGTCCAACGAGGTTTATCCGATCACTTTTTGACCGATCAATAAGGACTCTTCAGTTAATGTTGTCCGTTCTATATTTCAATGAAAAATAATTCACTTTGTCAAATTAGAAAAACCCTGAGTGAAAGCACGCTCTGAGGCAGTGGTGCAGATAGAAATGTGACAGGGATTTGACCAGGATACGTTGATGTGATGAAGCAGTGACGACGGCTGCAGCTTCACTGGTTCTTCTGTAGCACGGAGGTCAAATGATGATGTTTGTTTGACGCTCAGGGTCGACGCCTGGAGGCCACACATGGAACAGTCAGTGACGATGAGGGTTCAGACGAGGTCAGGCGGGTGGAGGCGAGTGTCGAGGTGGTGGGTGTCAATGCTGAGGTCTGATTGGTTTGATGTTTGATGACGTCGTAGCTGATCAATATGAGGTTTCATCTCTGACCTCTTCTGTCTGAAGGTCAGTTCGGTTTAACTATAAACTTCACAGACAACACAATCACCGTCTCCCATGGAGTGGGACTTTGGTCCAGGGCCGAGCTCAGTCGAAGGCGTGGGAACGGTGGAGGAGAAGGAGGAGAATTGTGGAATTGTTTGTGCAGACTCTGGCCATATAACCTTGAAGTTCTTTTACATTTTCCAAGGATATCTGGCATTTTATGTGTGAAGTGTGAGCATGGAAATGTTATCTGTCGTTTGCTGCTGGTCTGGTTGGGAGTAAAATGTGGGTTCATAACTTCCAGGAAAGGCTTTGGACATAGTTATGTTTCCAGTTTTATGTGTGGAAACTATATTAGTGGAAGTCTGACAGATAAGAGCAGAGATATTTGGCTTCATAAAACACACGCTTTCACATAAAATGTCCATGTTTTTTTACTTGAATGCCTCTATAAATGTCACGCTTCATTTTAGTCGAAGAGAAAATGTCCAGCGGAGGAGCTGTAGAGTACACGTTTCTTTTGTTTAGTTTATAAGATGACCTACAGGTAGCTGAAAATAAAGTTTATGTTAAAGATAGTAAAAACAGTTGGATGGAAGAGAGAAGAATTCTAGAACAGCATTAGGACTTCATTAAATCCATAATAAAAAGAGCTCACAGTGAGTCAGTCATCGCAGCTCATTCACAGCCAGACGTTAGCCTCAAACAGCTTACGTCTAATAAAGGAAACGTGCTTTGTTTAAAGTTGGAATTGTTTGTGGAGAAATGGTTTGAACTTCGTTCATATTCACAGAATAGAAATGATAATCTTGACCTGCCAGTCTACAACCACCTTCACCTGTGGGTGACAGTGATGTGTTTCATATTGGACAGGATTCAGTGATGAGTGGACGTAGCTGAGTGTCAGCTGGTCAGCTGGCAGCGTCTCCTCTCACCGGGCTCTGGGATGTGGTCTGCTGCAGACTCAGGATCAGCTGCAAAATGTCCTGGCGATGACACACAGCTTCCACTGCTCAGTAGCCGTAGGAAGTTAATCGACTCCTGTCTGCGGTCAAAGAGAGGGGTTTTTTTTTTCCTCTCTGAATCAGCAGAGAAAGACGTTATCCCCTCTGAAAGTCCACTGTCCTGTCTAGACACGATCAAGGACAAGGCGTCACAAAGAGACGCTGGTACAGCTGTCAAAATATTACCCACTTTTATGTCGAGCAGAGTGGTTTGTTCAACATCTGTTTGGAGGAGAAGTGGCGTGTTTGCGTTTTTCTCCCTTCACATCAACAAATCAAAACCTGAAGTTGCCTTGAACGCTGCAGCAACTCCCGCTGCTGCACGTCCCCGCCGTGTTGATGTCTTCATGAACTGTGTACATGGCGACACATTAGAGACGGGGGTGCAGACGCCAAACCTGGGGCTTTCAGGAGAGCACTCCATGAACTGTGTACATGGCGACACATTATAGACGGGGGTCGTCCTGGTGCAGACGCCAAACCTGGGGTTTTCAGGAGAGCACTGGGTTGTGTTTGTGAAAATAAATAACATTCCTGTAGTATTTAACATTCCTGTCTGATACGCAGTCCTACCAACAGCATCACGCTGCCGTTGGCTCTCAGAAAGACACCTACTGTTCTCTGTCCTCGGCTGCAGCGTCTGTCCTCGGCTGTCCATCACTCTGCCTGGACAATATTAACGCACTGAACTGTTGTGCTGTACGACTTGTCTTTAAATAAGACAAACTTTATCTAAGGTGTTAAGAGGGGAAAAGAAAATCCGATCGAGTGTTCAAAAGCCCCAGGCCTCAGGAGGGAGTGATGTTGTGTCTTCAGCTCTTCTTATCTTTCATCTGAACTGTTAGCATTCTTCCAAGTGAAAACAGGGCTCAGCTTTGAGCTGTTCATTCTCAGCACAATGATTTTATTAAGTAGTTATTTTGTTATTGTTAAAAATAAATAAGAACCTGATAAAAACACAATAGAAAAAAAAACATATTGAAGTAAAAGTTGTCTTTACAAGCCTCTTCTTTGGATAATGATACAATTCATCCCAGGATTTGGAGAAAAAAAAAACACAGACTGTGGAACTGGGTCTGACTGATGTAAATGTTGTGTCTTTGACTGAAAGACTCACAGAGTCAATGTTGAAACAATAAGAATTACCTTCAAACTTCAACTGAATTTGGAGACAGGGTGAAACGCAGCAGCGTCTGGAGCTGTTGTTCAGTAATGGTTGTTTTTCCTTTCGGTGACATCGCAGTTAAATCACGTTAAATACGCTGATGGTTCCTGTCAGGACTGAATGTTCTCCACCATAAAGTTAACTGAGTAACTGAATAGTTTTAGTCCTGGTTAAAGAAAAGAAAACTTCAAATGAAAGTCATGGCTGACGTTATTGTCATTTAATATGAGTCCAAACTTTGTCTGAGATCCAGGGAGCAACGACTGTGGCAGAACAGTAGAAAATAATCACCTTTTTTTTTTGAGGCTTTTGTTATGAAAAAATAAACGTCTACTTGATGCTGCAGTCAGGACCTCCATGTCCTCCCTGCACCTGCGGAGGCGCTGTCCTGCTCCTCGCTGACCAGGCGGTCAGACGCTGTGGTACCCATGAGCCCGAGGTCCTGATGCTTGACTGACTTTGGATTGAACCGCTCACCAAAGGAATGTGGGAACAGACTGTGATGTAACACACAGAATATTGTTCTTCTCCTGATCACTGCAGGGCGGGAGCTGAGATTTGACCCTGAAAACTGAACTGTTTGGTGAATATCAGCTCCTGATGGACAGAGATTTTTGATTCACTCACACTTTACGATTCCAGTTTTAAGTAAATGATTCATCCACATCCAATTAGTTTATAAATCACATTTAAATGACAGCTTTGAACCACAGAGCATCAGATCAGATGGTGAATAATGAGGTTTGAGGACGGGCCGTCCAGGAGCCAGCTGAGCTCAGTGATGTGGAGCAGCAGCAGCAGCAGTAACAGCAGCAGTAGCAGTAACAGCAGCAGTAACAGCAGCAGCAGCAGCAGCAGCAGAAGCAGCAGCAGCAGCAGTAGTAACAGCAGCAGCAGCAGCAGCAGCAGAAGCAGCAGCAGCAGCAGTAGTAACAGCAGCAGCAGTAACAACAGCAGCAGCAGTAACAACAGCAGCAGCAGCAGCAGCAGCAGCAGCAACAGCAGCAGCAACAGCAGCAGTAACAGCAGCAGTAGCAGCAGCAGTAACAGCAGCAGCAGTGACAGCAGCAGTAACAGCAGCAGCAGTACCAGCAGCAGTAGCAGCAGCAGTAACAGCAGCAGCAACAGCAGCAGCAGCAGCAGCAGCAGCAGCAGTAACAACAGCAGCATCAGCAGCAGCAGCTCAGAGGAGCAGTGAGGAGCAGGAGTGATCAAGTATTTGTCAGGTGGACTTAGTTCTGCACCTCACAGGGAGCTGAAGGAGAGAACGTGATAAATATGTGCTAACGCTTAATGTTTCAGGTGATCAGAGAAAATGGAGACGACGAATGAAAATAAACAAAAACAACATCAGTAAAAATGGAAATAACATTTTAGTTGTTGTTCACCTACGGTGTGGGGGAATCTGAGGCAACACTTTAACTATAAATCAAGTGTAGTTGTAGTTGTTGGATGGAGTTCAAGTCGTTTTTTGTCGAGTTAGGTATAAATGAGAGCTTTTTTTCTGCAAAGCGGTGAAAACAGATGTTATATTTCCTTGAAACGGAGCCCGAGTGAAGCAAAGAAATGACAAACTGAAGAGTTTGAAGGATGTGTTTTAACAGCTGGGAGCTGAGGTGACACAGGAACACTGTAAATAATCAAGTCAAAAGACATTCCTTCAGCCAAGTAGGAACAGGATCAGGATCAGTCCGAGGCTGCAGAGGTATCACAGACCAGGAGCAGGAACAATGTGGTTCAACCAAACCAAACCAAAGGTGTCTGAGAGTCCAGGGAGGAGGAGGAGGAGGAGGAGGAGGAGGAGGAGGATTTCATTTACTGCTGAAGACGGTCATTA